AAACGAACAAGTTATGATTTTTACAAAATTGTCGCGCGAGCAGTTTTGGTAAGACCTGGCAGCACGTACCTAATTTATTTTTGACCTGTTTATCATTCTTAAAAGTGCTCAAATGAAAACCTGAACTTCATGAAAGTTGTAGACCTTTTTCTTAGCATTCTAATGGGGTAAGATTTATACTGATCCAAGCTCTGTAGTGTAAGTTATAGTCATCTTACTGAGGTCCTGTCAGCTGTATGATTTCAAGTTTGGACTGCCACTCTGTTTTAAATGTTTGTTGATTAAACTCCTAGTAAATGACTTTATCTACTGTCGATGTCTTCATGAGAGTTGTACCCGCATGTCTTAGAATTCATATGCAGTTGGAATCATGTTTATTCGAGTTATGTGCCGCAAGTTAAGTTGATTTCAAAATCGCTGCGCGAGTTAAGTTTCGAAAAACTTATGTCGTGCCTTCGAAAATAGAAATTCTTTTTAAGTGTTAGCTTATGTGACTAATAGGGGCTGAGTTGGTTTATTTTTTGATGGTGTGAACCTTACGTGCCTTAATTATGATGATCTTAGTTTCGGATAGATGTTTATAGGCTATTTTAATAATCGTAGGTGTTGACGAGCTGTGTTCTCGGCCTGCTTTTCCTGATTTCTGTAATTTCTCTATTCTCAGGAGACCAGGTGGGTTGTAATTGTAAAATTTGCTATGCCGTAAGTAACTTATTTGTTGTTGGGTTGGTATGATCAATGCATTCTTGTGAATTGGTGTAACCTTCGATGTGAGCTGTATGTCCTTCGAACGGTTGTCCCCGTCGATGTGAGCTGTATGTCCTTCGATGGTGCCTTGTGAGGCAATCTCCCTAAGTCCTAATGAAAGGCCATATCGTTGAGAGCTGTATGTCCTTCGGTATGCACTCCCATTGTTGAGAGCTGTATGTCCTTCAATGGCTAATGATAGATGTGCACATGAGTGAGGTTATTGGTGTATTGATTGGAGATGTGACATGTTGAATTGATTTATAATCATGCTGTGACCATACCCTTGTTATATTATGTTGTTATTTACGTGCATAGTGGTGAGCACTACGGATTCCTTTTGTGCTCATTCCCACCTGCTCTTCATGGATGCAGGTTAGTATGTGCGGGCACGACGGAAGGAAGCGAGTGGTGGTTGGTCAATTACGACCAATTTATGATTATTATTGATTATTGCTTCCGCTTATTCAACTGAATAATGTTAATATTGTTTTTCGAATTTTGATTATTGGATTATTTTAAGGAGTGTACTCCTTGGATTTAGAAATTTGAGAAACCCGGTTTGCATAATGGAATTATGATTGATTATCGGATATTGCTATTATTATTGATTATGGATAATCGTTTTGAAAATGAGTAGCGCCTCAAGGGATATTGAAATAAATTTTGAAAAAATTTATCTTGAGTTTCGTCTATTAAAAGTGGGGCGTTACAGTTTGGTATCAGAGCCAGTCTGCGTTTCTGTAGACTGGTCTAAGTATTAATTATGTGATTATGTGCATTGACCTTGTTATATGACCACTCGCTCTCGTCGTGCCGCGCCTGCTCAGGTATGAGTACCTGAATAATTTTGAGATTATTGTTTGTTGTTTGGTTATTGATTATGGGTATGATAAATCGGGGCTTAGGATCTATCCACCTTGATTTAATCGAACTCTAGTGTTTAATGGCGAATTCTAGACTTCTATATCTATGATATTTTTTTGTGCTAAACTTTGTTCGGCTTATTCAATGTAGAGCTATGAATACCCGCAACAATCGTAACCGTCAGCCATCCACGTCTCCTTCTCCGCCTCGTCATCATCACCAGACCCTTCCGGCCATGGACCTTACCCGGCTCATAGTCCAGTTTCAGAGAATGAATGCACCGACTTTCTCGGGGACTGAGAACCCCACTGCGGTACTGGAATGGATCAAGGAGCTGATAAGATTTTCGCTGTGCTCCCTCTTCTGGACCGGCAGCGTGTATCTCTCGCAGCTTACCAGATGAAGGAGTACGCTTCCGACTGGTGGATTGACCACTGGGCTCGAAGGCCAGAGGCGGAGCTTAATGCTCTCACCTGGGAGCAGATGAAGATGATGGTACGCGGCAAGTTCCTTCCCCAGAGTTTTTGGGATCGGATGGAGCATGAGTTCTACCATCTGCAGCAGGGCAGCTCCACCGTGGATGAGTATATTCGCACTTTCACCCGAATGTGTCTTTTTGATGGCGACTCGGTAAATACTGATGCTAAGAAGGCTCGCAAATTCCTTAAGGGGCTTAATCAGAGGATCCGTGAACTGGTGGGGAGTCACGGACTGATGTCTTACGCCGAAACTGTGAGCCGGGCTCAAGAAGTGGAGAGTTGTCTCATTCCTATAACTCCAGTCCCCTCCTATTATCATGCTTCACAGCCTGCCCAGACTTCCATTCAGCATGCTCAGCCCATCTTCTCCACGCCGCCTAGCTCTAGTTCGGGAAAAAAGACGGCTGATTCGCACCGGGATGACCGAAAAGGTAACGGGGAGGCTCGGATAGGCATGACGACCGCCCCTCCACCCTTGGGCCTATCCAAGCGTGTCCTAACTGCGGCAGGAACCATAACGGAGAGTGTCGAGCTACTAAGAAGACCTGCTACAACTGTCAGCGCATCGGTCACTTTGCCCATATGTGTCCTGAGCCGAGGAGGCAACAGCAGGGACCTTATCAGCAGCAGTCGTCTTACCCTCATCAGCAGCAGCTTCCCCCATTGCCCCCGCAACAAAATGCGCATCAGCCCCCACTATTTCAGCAGCAGAAATAGCAGGCCCAACCGAGGTTTAACGAAGGAGGACGAGCACGGGTATACATTATGGCCCAGTTTGAAGACGAGCAGAACCAAGGCTGAGCAGTTGACCAAATATCGTGTTTAAGATGATTATTTGTGCTTTCTTTTGTTAGAACTTCGCTCCTCTTTACTTTTCGTAGACCTTGTTTATTTCCCTTGTCTTGTTAGACAAGTTTGAATTTCGCTTTGAGACTTCTATTGGTTATTCAATTTTTGTTATTTGGAAATTTCTCTTGTCTTTTCTTTCCTCGCGTAGAATGAGAATTATGATGGGGTTAAAAGTCTTAATTTTTCGTTGATCATGATGTGTTCTCGTAAAATTAGGACTTCTGTTTCATGATATCTTTAAGTCGATGTGAAGGGTTCAAGAGAGCGAATATTGTTGCAACTCTTGAGTAATGCCTGGGCCTAGCGATAGGCGCAAACCAACCATCCTTTTGTGAGCATATTGAGCGTCTTGCCGGAGGATCGTACGAGGAAGTCTCCACCTACATGATATAGAGGAAGTCTTTCAAGGAGGATAGCCAAGAGTTGTGAGAATCATCGTGAGTAATCAGCCACTTGACTCATGATGAAGTACGAGTACCCTGACAGCGAAGTCGGAGTACTGGGATATTGCAGTTGGGATTAAGGTCACAAAATACTAGGGAATTTCTGATCTTCGACTACGTATCAACACGGGGAAATGTAACAGCCGATGAGGAATGAACAGTAGCTACTGGATGCGGGTGGTGCAGGTGTACTGCATGTTGGTGCCGCGCACAGGCGTGCCACGCTCGGTGATGCATCTCGAGTGGTAGGAAGTGCCGTGCGTAGTGTGCCGCATGTAGCGTGCCGTGTTGCCACATGCCAGACCAGCCGTTCATGTCACAGCTGCCAAGTCTCTAGCGTGTAAATACGTATCGATTTAGGGAATTTTTCACGTGTATCGTTCTGACCCGAGTCTTGTTTGGAGGACTTTTAAGTGAAATAAGTTTGGAGGTGTTATCCTTAAAGAGTCGTTGTACTCGATTGCAAGTGTAGTTACCACGTAAAGTGAGGAACTTCGTGGTAAGAGTTGAGGCTACGGCCATGTTGTATTAGTTCTATTATGACTCTCGACCAAGTCAATGACTTAGCCTGATGGTTGACTCCGCCACTGGAGCATGCGGGGATGCATGACACGTTATATACCACGTGATGGAGGAACGTGTGCGTGACCTCGAGGTACGTGGGGATTGTGACGAACTGCGTGATAGGCAGAACCGTACTTGTATGGTGGTATCGGTGACCTGTTGGAACAGAGGTCCATCAGGGAAAGGCCGAAAAAGGGTGTTCGTTAAAGTCTAGTGGTGGCAGTCGAGTCGAGGGCGAGACGACTTGGAAGAGGGAAACTGAGATTCGGAGGGAGTACCAAACATCTTGTGTTGATATTCCCCTTGTATTCTAGATGTTTTAGTTTTCGAATTCCGAGGACGAAATTCCTTTTAAGGTGGGTAGACTGTAATGCCCCGTTTATTTTTTTTAATAAGGTTGGGATTATTTATCTATTTGCATTATTATTATTATTATTGTTGTTGTTGTTATTACTATTATTATCATGCTTGAGATTTATTTGCCTAATTGTCATTATTTTTATAAAATGATCAATATTATTATTACAAATATATAGTGATTATTATTATTATTATTGTGATTAAATGTCTATATATTTAATTGTTTATTAATATTTACTAAATAAATATTTGGTGATATATATATATATATATATTATATATATATCATTTGACTTATTTTGTTTTATCGTTCGTTCGCTGGGCTTCATTAATTAATTAAATGTTGAACCGAACATTTATATTCATAAGTACCGAGCCCGAGAGACCCGTTCCGGCCCCTTCCCTTTTGTTCCTTGGGTGCCAAGATTTGGAAATGACCTAACCCTACCCTAGTCTATATATATGCAAGAGATATTTTTCCT